GCTGTGGCTATTCATGGTCTTGTGGTTCCATGTACATTTTAGGATTTGTTGCTCTATTTCTGTGGAAAATGCCCCTGGTATTTTGGTAGGGATTGTGTTGAATCTGTAGATTGCTTTGGGCAGTGTGGACATTTTAATTTTAATTTTTCCAATCCATGAGCATGGTACGTCTTTCCATTTGTCTGTGTCATCTTCACTTTCTTTCGTCACCATGTTACAGTTTTCAGAGGACAGTTCTCTCACCTCCTCGGCTACATTTACTCCTACAGATGCTGTTTATTTCAGATACTCATTCAGCCCCACGTCTCCTGTTTCTGGGTCTCCAGTGGCACCAACGTCAGACCTGTTGTTACAGCCTCACATTCCCGTCAGGCTCTCCGTTTGTTGAGATTCAGGGTGACCTCAAGGTCACAGCTTCTTTCCTCTCTGCCCCCGTTCTGCTATAGAGATCTCCATTTGGGTTTTTCCCCCCAGTTTTTTGTTTGTTTTTGTTTTTTTAGAGAGAGAGAGAGCACGAGTAGGGTGGAGAGGCAGAGGGAGAAAGAGAGAATCTCAAGCAGACTCCTACACTCAGCATAGAGCCCGACGCAGGGCTCAATCCCGTGACGCTGAGATCGTGACCTGACCCAAAATCAAGAACAGGACGCTCAACTGACTGAGCCACCCAGATGCCCCCACCATTTTTTATGTTTCAGTTCTAAACTTTTCACTTCATTCTCATTTCTTCTCTTTTATGTCTTTGCTGAGAGTTTTTATTTTTTCATGTGTTTCAGGCATGTTCATAATTTTCATCGAAGCATTTTTATGACGTCTTTTTTAATGTCTTTGTCAGATAATTCTAACATCCGTGTCATCTTGGTGTTGGCTTCTGATGTTCGCTTTTCTCATTCAACCTGAGGTTTTTCCAGTTGTCGGTTTTCAAATGAAACCAGGACATCTTGGGCTTTGTGTTGAGACTCAGATCTCACTTAAATCTTCTGTTAGGACTCACCTCCTGGGCATCTCAGTTGGGGGTGGGAGTCCAGGTTCCCCACCCGTATCTTCCATGACCCAGGGAGGGGAGGGCAGGCAGGGTAGCACAGGGGCTGTGGTGTGCTGCTCCCCACATGGCCTCCACTGGCACCAAGGAGGGGGTGGGTGCCTAATCAGCTCATTGCCGCTGGTCTGGACTCCCCACCCCAGCCTTTGTTGGTGGGGGTGGGGAAGGCCGTGAGCTGGCAGGGTGGTTATTAATCTAAAAATGTTGGCTCCTAGAGGCGCCTGGGTGGCTCAGTGGGCAGAGCATGTGACTCTTGATCTCAGGGTCAGGAGTCCAAGCCCTGCGTTGGGGTGGAGATTACTTTAGAATAAATAAATAGTTCAAAATTTAAAAATCTCAAAAATAGAACAGTATTAATTTTTAGAAAAAAGAAATGTTGTATTTTCAGTTTCTTGTTCTTGGTCCTCTAGCTTTTCCTCGTCTGTTCCTGCTGGTGTGTCTGCGCTTACCCGCCTCTCTAGCGCCCAAGCTGGGGCACGGGAGGAGACAGACAGTGCTGGGATCTGTCAGAGTCATTCCTTGGAACCTAAGGCCCCTGGCTGGTCTGCCTTCTTCTGTCTGCCGTCAAAGTGTCGTGTTTGTGCTGCGTACGACGTCCTGGGGTGCTAGCTGCCCTTGGCAGGAGGAATAGGGAAAAGTTCATCTCCACCTTGCAGAAGTGGAAGTCCCTATGAGAACATTTGTTGTTTTAAGTATAAATTCAGTTTCTTTAGTAAATATAAGACTATCCAGGTGTCCCGTTTGTTCTGAAGTGGCTATACTGAGGGCCCTTCTCTCACTCCTGATCCTGATAATTCAGGTTTTTTCTCTTTTTTTTTTTTTGTAGTTGGTCTGGCTGTGGATTTGCTGTTGCTTTCAAAGGAATAGGTTTGGTTTCGTTGCGTTTTCTGCATTTCCCTGTTTTTTAGTTCATAGATTTCTGTTCTTTGTTAGCCCTTTCCTTCTACTTGCTTTGGATTTAATTTAACCTCCTCTCTCTGGTTTCTTAGATCACCGATTTGAAACCTTCCTTCTTTGCAATATAACATTTAATAACATTCTAGCGTAAGGATCACATTACACAAATACAGTATATAGGTAAGCTATGGGTTTGTCAAGCTTCTTGTGACAGAATGTGAAGCATTTTGGTGGCACTTAAGTGAGACCGTGTCCAGGGACGAGTGTCACAGGACGGCACAGGGTCTGGAAACTACCATACCAGGAGTGACCCAGGAAGCTGGAAGACCCCTGGAAGCATGAGAGCTGTTTTATCAAAATCCAGGGATTCGTGCAGCGGGAGTGTGATGGCAGCGCCAGCACCGGTGGGTAGCAACTACCAGGAAGCAGATCTCGGTTGAGTGACAGGAAGACCTTCCAGCAATCAGATCGGCTCCACCCAGGGACCAGCTTCAGGGTTGGAGGAAACAGGGCTCCAGCCAGGGATGACGAGAGTAAACATTTGGCTTTGGGGTCTCTGGCGCTGACACCAGCAGCTCCGCTTAGTGGGGTCTTCCCCCTGGTACACCCTGCCGGATGTCCACCAAGAGCTGTCTTTGAAGACCTCACTGCTGCACCAAGACCAGAAGCCAGAATTTTCATCACTAGGTCAATAGGGAGCTGGTTAAATAATTTACGGTGCACCCATATGTGTGTTATAAGACTTAAATGAATTAACTCATGAAAATCAATATATGTAAAATGCTCAGAGTAGTGCCTGGCCCGTAAGTAGGCACCGTGTGAGTTAACTGCAGTGAAACTATTTAGAAGACTGTTGAATGATCCACAAGATCTGTTAAGTGGAGGGAAGTAGAGAGCAGTGTGTACACACACCTGTCTCCCTATGTCCATGTGCGTGTCCATGTCCACACGTGTGTGCGCGCACATCCACATGTGCTCGAAGACACAGAAGTTGGTAGCAGTGGTGGATATTTGGAGGGCAGCCGGCAGACCGAGGTCTCAACTTGTCAAAGCAGCACACGTCCCGTGAGGTTCTAGAAACAACGTGCATATCGTGACCACCTACTCACAGTTCCCTACACTCGTTTCCCTAAATGAGGAGACCTGGATGGGACGATGAGATTGTTCAAGACGTGTTCATCAGAATTCTCCCTGGTACATCGTTCCTTAATGTTCTCATCGGTTCCTGACCATTTCTGATCTGTTCTTTAGGCAGTGTGTTCAAGAGATTACGTAAAAGCGGTTCGAATTCCCAGACTTCGTCAGATCTCTGGTTCTGCTTGAGTTATCTTTAATCTCTTCACCGACTTGGACGCCACAGATCATGACCTGCCATGGGGGTCAGGCCCGTGACATCTGTAGCAGGAGAAGAGGTGCTGCTTCCCTGACGCTCCTGTTGCTCTGAGACCGCACCTAGGATTTGACCTTCTGAAATTCTCTCCTGAGGAAGCTGTCAGATGCTCAATATTTGTCTGTGTTTGTCAAAACCATAATTGTACTACTTTGAAAAGTAGTAAGGAAGCCACGTGTCCGACACCAGAAGTCTCGGCATACATTTTGGCAAAGTCCTAGGAAGCAGTGCTGTATGATCACGAAAACATTTAACATCCCAGAGAAATGGTCAGAGTCTGGGGCGAGGCGGTACAGGGCACTCACTTGCTGCTGGCCGGAGCGTGAGGGGCACCCCGACGTCTGACAGCAGTCCACTGGCGTTGGCGGCCTACAGCTCAGTGCTCCCTTCCCGGGTGCACTCAGTGTCCGCTGGAGCAAACCTGTGTGGGAATGTGTCCACCAACGGGAGAGTGGACAGACGCCAGTGCCGTGAAAACCAAGGAAGGCGGGCAGCCTTCCAGATTAAGGGAGACGAGAGAGGACACAGGATACTGGATTGGACACTGGGCTGGGGCAGAAAGGTCGGGCAGGCATCACGAGGCAGACAGAGCGTGTGTGGAGACAGTGGGTCAGGTGACACACGCTGGGACGTGGAATTGGTCAGGCTGGTCGGGAAGCATCCCTGTTTTAGCAAATGGGGACTCCCTGCAACTTAGCCCTGCACGGCCAGGGAAGAGGAGTGTGCACACGCTCGTCAGGGAAAGAGCGTGGACCGCAAAAGGCAAAAGGAAACAAGTGACAGGTGGCAAATCTGAGTAAAGACTCTGTGGGAATTCTTTGTGTTATTCTTTCAACTTTCTCAAGTCCGAAATTGTATCAAAACTGTGAAGTAGGGACAAGCCCAAGAAGATAGTGTGTATTGTACGGTCCGCGAAGGCCCCACTGCAGCAGAGGTGGGTCATGTTCTGGGAGCTCAGGCGTGACTGCTGTGGTATTATCACAGTGTGTGTGGTGTGAAGTATTTCATAGAAGTCAATAGGAAATGTAGGTTACAAAATTATGAATATAGACTTTTTAGTACATCGACAAAGTAAGGACTATCGTGAAGGCCTTAAATTTTCCTTTCCAAGAAACAGTGCTCATAATGTTAGCTCATCATGTTGAGTGAACAAACTGCTGAGTTATAGAACAGCGTCCAAAGATTTAAATATATATTACATGTATATGGGCAAAGAAAAACATCAAAATATATACACTGTAGGTAGTGGAAAGACACAGAACTTGGTTTAAATTAACTTTAAATTTTTTGTATTGTTTTCCAAACTGTATGTGTTGAACATGTATAAAATTTGTTTGCAGAATAGGAAACAACAAAACAATAAAAAAAAAAAAAAAAAAACCCAGTGGCTCCTGGGTGGCTCAGATGGTTAAGCATCTGCCTTTGGCTCAAATTGTGATCCCAGGGTCCTGGGATCGAGTCCTGAGTCAGGCTGCCCCTGCTTGAGCACTCTCTCTCCATCAAATAAATAATCTTAAAATTAAAAAAAAAAGAAAAGAAAAGAAAAACCTGAATAGCTGCTTGGGGACTCAGGAGGGCAGGCTTGGCCGGGTGGCCACCAGCTAGTGGCGCTCCACTCCACCCCCACCCCCCACCGCCAGTGCCCAGCCCTGCCCAGCAGCACGTCCCTTGCAGATCGGCTTCACCACGGACCCGCGCATGGCCCGCTCCTCGCCCTACCCCACTGACGTGGCCCGCGTTGTGAATGCCCCCATTTTCCACGTGAACTCGGACGACCCAGAGGCCGTCATGTACGTGTGCAAGGTGGCGGCCGAGTGGCGGAGCACCTTCCACAAGGACGTGGTGGTGGACCTGGTGAGTGGCTTCCATCTGTGGCTGGGAGAGGAGGGGCGTCACCACATTGCTCCCCACACAGGGTCCCACACACAGTGGACCTGCCAGCATCCACAGGCCTTTCCGGGGTCACCTGGCTGCCCCTCCCCAGGACTTCTGAGGCCCCAGCCTGGGGTCTTGTGCCAGGGTGTCCCCAAGTCGCTCGTTTGATCTCCTGTAACAGCGACTGCTGCGAAGGAGGTCTAGATGGTGGAGGAGGTACACTGGGGTGCTGTGCAGGAGAGCAGGCAGGTGCTGCTGGGTCCCTGACGCCGATGCGTCCCTGCTGTGTCCAGGTGTGTTACCGGCGCAACGGCCACAACGAGATGGACGAGCCCATGTTCACGCAGCCCCTCATGTACAAGCAGATCCGCAAGCAGAAGCCCGTGCTGCAGAAGTACGCTGAGCTGCTGGTGTCCCAGGGCGTGGTCAACCAGCCCGAGTACGAGGTGTGTCCCCGGCCCTGACTCGGGAAGGGTAGAGAGGGGCCGGGCGGGGACGGGGCTCCGACTCCGAGCAGGCCTGCAGCCAGCAGATGTGGCGAAGAATGCAGGGGCAGAGACGATGACACAGCAGGCTTCTCGTGGGCCTCGGAGCGGTTGTGCGCGTGACGGGCGGGGGGGGGGGCGGCCTGTGCAGAGCACCCCCCGACAGCTGTGCTGTGCCCGACCCTCCAGGAGGAAATCTCCAAGTACGACAAGATCTGTGAGGAGGCCTTCACCAGGTCCAAGGATGAGAAGATCCTGCACATCAAGCACTGGCTGGATTCCCCCTGGCCCGGTGAGCCAGGGACATCACCTGGGCCACCTCTCCCCCGCCCCCACCACACACCCTTCGGGCCCCAGTTGGCTCCCGGAAGAGTGGCAGCTGTGTGTCAGCTTGTCCTCCTGTCTTAGGCTTCTTCACGCTGGACGGGCAGCCGAGGAGCATGACCTGCCCCTCCACGGGCCTGACGGAGGACATCCTGACGCACATCGGGAATGTGGCCAGCTCCGTGCCCGTGGAGAACTTCACCATCCATGGAGGTGAGGACGCCCACTGACCTGTGGAAGTGTTGGGCCATGTCCGTGGACTTCTCTCCAGCACGGGGCAGGCCCCATGGTGGAGGACAGGGTGGGACATCACGGCTGCTGGCCAGGCCACTGAGGTGCTGCTCTCGTCACGAGCGGGCGTGCCGGGCGGCTGGTGAGCACTGTGTCTGCGCAGGGCTGAGCCGCATCCTGAAGACCCGCGGGGAGCTGGTGAAGAACAGGACCGTGGACTGGGCTCTGGCGGAGTACATGGCCTTCGGCTCGCTCCTGAAGGAGGGCATCCATATCCGGCTGAGCGGCCAGGATGTGGAGCGCGGCACCTTTAGGTAACGCTCTCGGGGTTCTGGCGGCGCCGCGAAGCGCGGCAGGCAGAAAGGGAGGGCTTCGGCGTTTCTCAAGAAGATAATCCTGTGTCGGCCCAGAAGCAGCCTTCCCCCGCTCTGACGTGGACACTTCTGGGAGAAGCGGCTCCCTCTTGGGTCTGCGTGTTGGGGCGGAGCACAGGCGCTGTGCTTCCTAATCTGTGCTGTTGTGCCTCAGCCACCGCCACCACGTGCTCCATGACCAGAATGTGGACAAGAAGACCTGCATCCCCATGAACCACCTCTGGCCCAACCAGGCCCCCTACACCGTGTGCAACAGCTCGCTGTCTGAGTACGGGGTCCTGGGTGAGTGCCCTGGCCCACAGGCCCTGCTCCCTGCTGCCTGGCCCACCGCAGCCCCCTCCCCGCCCGCCCGCTGACTCACTCTGCTCCTGTCCCGCCTCCTCGCCCTGCAGGCTTTGAGCTGGGCTTTGCCATGGCCAGCCCCAACGCCCTGGTCCTCTGGGAGGCCCAGTTTGGGGACTTCCACAACACGGCCCAGTGCATCATCGACCAGTTCATCTGCCCGGGACAGGCCAAGTGGGTCCGGCAGAACGGCATTGTGCTGCTGCTGCCCCATGGAATGGAGGGCATGGTGAGCCCCCCCACCCTACCCCCGGCCCCAGAAGCTGGCGCGGCGCAGTGTGGTGCGCCCCCGTCTCTGAGGGCAGGTGTCAGTCCTGCTCCACCTCTGGTGAGGAACAGGGGTGCCGGCACAGGCTGCCCTGTTTCAGACGCCCCTGCTCACTTTGCTGCAGAGGCCCTGTGGGAGACCGTCTCAGAACCAGGTGTTAGAAACCGTGCAGAGCTGGGGTGTGGGCCCCTCCACGCTCTGGGGGTGGGCAGGGGGTTGAAGCACTAGTGGGGTCAGTGCGACTCGGCGTTTTTCAGACCAGAAGTGACCCAAGTCCATTAAGGAAGAGATGTGGCAAGTGCACCTCCCACCTCTGCAGACCTCCCGAACCGTAATTTGTGTGTGGTTCCAGGGCCCAGAACATTCCTCCGCCCGGCCGGAGCGGTTCCTGCAGATGTGCAATGATGATCCGGATGTCCTGCCGGTGAGCAGAGCGGCTGCCCCACACAGCCACTGCGGCTCCGCGCCCAGGCCTCGGGGGTGACGGGTGGGCGGCTCCTGCTGGCCCCCTGAAGTGAGGGTCCCCCTTCTGCCACGTGAGGAGCAGCTGTCTGCACTGGGCTCGGGCAGACGTCTTAGAGGAAAGAACTCGGGCACCTCTGGGCTGGATTCCGTGGAGCATTATGACTTGGCACAGGGTAACCGGGAGTCGGTTTTTAAAGCAAATTAGACTGGGCTGTAGGTAGACCCGAGGTCCAGGTGTGGCCGTGCTCTCAGAGGAGCGGGAGGGATGGAGTGGGACAGAGACCCTGCCGTGTGAGCTCCTGCCAGGGTCCCCGGTGGCAGCTGGGGCAGCCCTGCGGCAGGGGCTCAGTCGGCCGGCCCCCGGCCTCTCCCTCGAGCTGCAGAACCTGGAGGAAGCCAACTTCGACATAAACCAGCTGTATGACTGCAACTGGGTTGTCGTTAACTGCTCCACTCCCGGCAACTTCTTCCACGTGCTGCGGCGTCAGATTCTCCTGCCCTTCCGGAAGCCGGTTAGTTGGGGGCATCCCTGCCCAGTGGGAGGATAGCCGTGTGAGCGGGTGGTGGGCGGTGGGGCTCCGAGCATGGACGAGGGCTGCGCAGGGTCCCAGCCAGCAGGCTCCCGGGCAGGGCGTGGAATGGTGAGTAGAAGGGTGTGTGAAAGGCCCACAGGTCTAGACAGCCCTGGCCCTGGGTGGGGACCCCAGAGAGGCTGGGGTCTCTCTCCCAGGTCCAGGGTAGGGGCCCCGGGGCTCAGCAGGCTGGGACACGTCCCGGAGGAGTGCACATGCAGCTGCACGGGAAGCAGCATCGTCCCGGCCCCTCCTGCCCGCGGAGCTGGGAGTGCAGTACCAGGTCCCCAGCCTGGAGACGTGCAGGGGCCGCCCTCGCCGTGCTGTGGGCTTCCTTCCAGAACCCGTGGGGCCTGATCCATCGCGGGCCTGTGCTTCTCTTCCAGCTAATCATCTTCACCCCCAAGTCCTTGCTGCGGCACCCCGAGGCCAGAACCAGCTTCGATGAGATGCTCTCAGGTGGGTGTGGGGCAGGCTGTTGCTCTGTGGGGCTTGGGGCCTATACCTGAGCGTCTCACTGTGGTCCTTGCCACCGTTTTGGTCATTGGATGAGACCAGTGAACACGGCAGCCCACAGGTCGGAGCTTGCTTGTGAGGTGCTTAGAAGATGTGTCTTGCGCCCCACCCGGGTCTGCGGCCTTCACCTGGGTGCGCCCCAGGCCTCCTTTAGAGGCGGGGAAGCGAGTCTGAGCTCACGGTGCACCTGTTGCCCGGCCGCTGCTCCCACAGGGCATGCAGTGAGGCCCACAGCGTTGAGATCCCCTCCTGGACGGTAGGCAGCGGACACAGCACGGAGCGGCCCCGTGTCCCCGGGCTCACTGGGCCAGGGGAGCCCACCTCCTCCCAGCCGTGGAGCCCCCTTAGTCGTCAGTCAAGGTGAAGCCCTCCTTGGTTGGTTCGTTTTCCCATTTATCATTATTACGGTGAAATACACATAAAAGTTAAAACATAGGTGTTTTCACCTGTGCAGCTCATGAGCATTAAGCACGCTCACACAGCTCTGCGGCCACCTCCAGAGCTCCCACTTTCTGTCTCTGGTCCCAGCCGTCAGAGGCCCCACGTGTATGTGCGGGTGTGCGGCAGGTGTCCTCCTATGTCCGCTCCTTGCCGCACGTCATAGCAGGTGTCAGAACCCCTTCCCGCTTTAAGGCTGATTAAGATTCCAGCGTGTCGATGAACCATTTGGCCTCTGTCCATCAGTGGACACTGGTTGCTTACACTTTGGAGCGATTGTGAACGATGCTGCTGTGAGCATGGGTGTGCGGATATCTCTTCGTTTGGGTATATCCCCAGAGGTGGAACTGCAGGGTCGCAGGGTGATTCTGTTTTTAGGTTTTTGAGGAACCTCTGTACTATTTTCCCCAGCAGCTGTGCCTTTTTATTTCCCCACCTACAATGGTGAGGGTTCCAGCTTGTCCACATCCTTGTCAGCCCTTGGTTTTTGTTTATAACAGCTATCCTACCGCCCATGAAGTAGGACCCCTTGTTGGGGTTTTGATTTGCATTTACCTACTCATGAGTGATGGTGAGCCTCTTCTCATGCATCTGCTTTGGAGAAGTGTCTGTTCAGTCCTTTGCCTGATTTTGTCGGGTTGTTTGCATTGTTGTTAAATTTTAGAAGTTCTTTCTATATGCTGGGTACTAATCTAGCATCAGGTAGATGACTTGCAGCTCTTTTCTCCCATTCTGTGTGCTCTCCTTTTTTTTTTTTTTTTTTAAGATTTTATTTATTTATGAGAGGGAGGGAGCAAGCAAGTGAGTGAGGGGGAGGGGCAGAAGGAGAGGGAGAAGCAGACTCCCCTCTGAGCAGGGAGCCTGACACAGGACTCTGTCCCAGGACTCTGGGATCATGACATGAGCCAAAGGCAGACGCTTCACCGACTGAGCCACCAGGTGCCACCCCCCCATATGTTGTCTCTTGATGCACAAAATGTTTAAAATTTCATGAAGTCTATTTTTCTCTTTTGTTACTGGCACCGTTGACGTCACTTCCAGGAAATCACTACCACATCCGCTGTTGTGAAGCGTTTGCCCTGTTTTCTTTCAAGAGTTTTATCATGGTGGCTCATATGTTAAAGTCTTTAGCACATTTTGGGTTAATTTTTGTGTGTGGCGTGAGGGTCCTTCCTCTGCACGTGGACGTCCAGTTTTCCCAGCATTTGCTGGGAAGACTCCCTCTCTTTCCCCACTGAACGGTCTAGATGGGCTCTGTGTCCGCGGTCTGCACGTCTCCGTGCTGGGTTCTGAAGTCAGGAACTGGGCCTTCCGCAGCCTCGCTCTCCTGTTCTAGGATCGCTCCGCCTACTCAGGGGCCTTTGCAATTCCACGAATTTTAGGATGGATTTCTCGATGTCTGCAGAATACATCACTGGGCTTTTGGTCGGACTAAATCCGTAAATCACTTTGGGGACCGTGGATGTGATAGCAGCAGCAAGCAGGCCTGCCTGCAGGTGAACACACACACTGTTCCTTTGGCTCGTGTCTTTTATTTCTTCCAGCAACGCCTTGCAGTTTTTGGTGTGCAAGTTTTCCCTGTCTTCATTTATTCTTCAGTATTTTATTCCTTTTGATGCTGTGGCAAATGGAGTTTCTTATTTGTGTTTGGATCGGTCATCGTTAGTGTGCAGAAATGCATCTGTGCTCTAAGTGTTGATTTTTTTATCCCGCAACTTTGCTGAGTTTGTTCATTCTAATTTGGGGGTTTTCTACGTATGAGATCATGTCATCCACACACAGATAATTTTATCTCTTCCTTTCCAATTTAGAGGTCTTTTATCTTCTCCCCCAGCTGCTCTGGCTGGGACTTCCAGTGCGAGGCTGGATGCGAGCGGTGACGTGAGCCTCCCCATCTTGTTCCTGATCTTAGAGGAGAAGCTCAGTCTCGCGTCACTGAGTATAATGTTTGCTGTGGGCCTTTCATATCTGGCCTTTATCCTGTGGGGGCAGTGTTCCTCTGTGGCACGGACGTGCGTATGTGGCGGGGTGCACATCACCAGGGGAGACCCTTTGCTGGGCGTCGCTTCCGGAAGGCAGCTCGTTCCCCTTGTGGGGCCCGGCGCTGACAGTGGGGATCTGTGCGGAAGGCTTCAGTGTTTGTAAACTCGGGGGGGAGCCTGAGCAGAGTGATCAGACTCCGTTGCCCTGGATGTCCAGGATGGGCTGTTTGGAAGAAGGAACTGGTGTCACTTGCAGTCTGCAGCTGGCCTTGGCCTACTGTGCACTGTGCACGATGTGCTTCTCAAGGCTCTCTTGGTCTGGATGGATTCGGCGGCATCCGGGGCTGGTGCACGTTGGCAGCTGTGTATTAAGGCGTCTGCCCGTGTCATGGCCCTGCCTTGGGGGCCCCACTTGTGCACGGCAGCAGCGGGAGGGCCCCGGGTGTCCTCCGCCAAGTCCTGAGACAACCCCAGCCGTGGGGATTCTCTCATAGGAACCCACTTCCAGCGGGTCATCCCAGAAGATGGCCTTGCAGCCCAGAACCCAGAAAACGTCAAGAGACTTCTGTTCTGTACGGGCAAGGTGTACTATGACCTCACCCGGGAGCGGAAGGCACGGGGCATGGCGGAGCAGGTGGCCATCACGAGGATCGAACAGGTGAGGGCAGGCAGTGCGCAGCCGGAGCCCCCGAGTCTCCTCAGAGCTTCTGGAGCATCCCCCCAGGGTCGCTCTTTGCTCCCTCCTGACCGCACCCCTTGCTCTGTCCACAGCTCTCCCCATTCCCCTTCGACCTCCTGCTGCGGGAGGTGCAGAAGTACCCCAACGCCGAGCTGGGCTGGTGCCAGGAAGAGCACAAGAACCAGGGCTACTACGACTATGTGAAGCCCAGGCTGCGGACCACCATCAGCCGCGCCAAGCCCGTGTGGTGCGTGGGGGCCCGGACAGCCACGGGGGCGGGGCCGTCCGCGGCTTGACCCTCACCCCCGCTGTCACCCCCTCAGGTATGCCGGCCGGGACCCCGCCGCCGCTCCAGCCACCGGCAACAAGAAGACCCACCTCACGGAGCTACAGCGCCTCCTGGACACGGCCTTCGACCTGGACGCCTTCAAGAACTTCTCGTAGACGCCGCCTGGGCCGCTGCCCTCCACAGCCACGGCCGCCCCTCGCTTCTCAACTAAAGAATAGTGCCTCAGCGCTGCCCGCACCTCTGCCCGTCTGCTGCACCGCACTCCCCCTCTCCCGCTTACCCATTAGGCTGCTGTCCCCCGTGTGCTTGGCTGCTCCCCCAGGCCAGAGGCCCCCAGGCGCTGTGACTTCCGTGCGGCTGAGCATCCTTCGTGGAGGCCGCAGGGAGCAGGAGGAGAGGGAGCCCCTGCAGGTGTCCTGGGAGGGTCAGCTGTGCCCCAGCCCTCCCGCTGCCCCCGCAGGACCAGCCTCGTGTGGCCTCCCAGGTACCAGCCGTCCTGGTCGCCCAGCACAGGGGCTGGTGCACCTGGACAAAGTGGCCACCTCTTCCCAGCCCGAGCCCCAGGCCCCTCAGAGGGAGCCGTCGCTGTCCAGACTTCACGGGGTGGGCTGGGCTCTGGTGGGACTCTCCCTGTGCATAGAGCCGTGGCACTGCTTGGGGCGGCTGGCAGGAGGGGGGCCTGTGCCCGGCCTGGTACAGAGAGGGCAGGTCCGCTCTCTGCAGTGTCCACTCCCACCCCTCGAGAGGGTCCCGGACCACGGGTGGAGGCCGTGCAGGTTTCACCCACCTGGGGCTCAGGGCTCAGGCCAGGCTGCTGCCCGCCCGCCCGGCAGGCTGGCTCACTCCGACACTGTGGAGACGGAAGGGTTCTTCTCTGTGCCGCCACGCCACAGCTGGTCGGGAGGGGAGAGGAATGCCAGGGCCGACAGGCAGCTGGAGGAGAGGGGTGGCTTCCCTCATCCGTCACAGGGACAGATCTGATTTATTTATTTTGGTTAAAAAAAAGAACAAAACAACTTTGCATTGCATTTGGCTTGACCCATAAACGAAGTTACCCTTGGGCCTGTCTGCGTGTCCTCCTTTCTGTCCGGCCCCGCCCCTGCCCCCAGAAGAGGCTGACCCAGGCCTCCCCACCCTGCCTGGGAGGCAGCCCCTCGCTGCTCGGCCCTGTTGTGCCTGGTGCACCCCGCTTCTGAGCCTCCCCTGCTCCCCAGCCGGTCTGCACCCCTGGAAGACCACACAGCTCCTCTGACCTCTGCCGGGGCACCAGCCATGCCAGCAGGGCCCCAGGGGCTCCATGGCCCCTCTTCGCAAGAGCCCCACCATCTTGAGCCCACAGCACACCGTCCTTGGCCTCCTGGGAGACTCAGGGAAAGGCCTGGGTGAGGACATAGGAGCTGATGACCACCCCATCCTCTAGGCCACACCTGGTCCCTCGTCCTTGAAGCCTGCTTGGGATCTCTTCCCTGTGTGTCCTTTATGCTCCCTGCAGCTTGGGTCCTCCAGCCCTGGTGGGATGGTGGCCACGCACAGGCGGAGCTGGGCGTGGGGTCTGGGCAGCCCGACCAGCACACCCCTGTGTCTGATACAGTCGGCTGGCTGGATTAGGGCATGTACACAGAGGGAGAGCCACGGGGGCATCTGTGCGGGGAGGGGGGACACTGGGCCCTCCCAGGTCAGCTCGGTCCACTCGGGCTGCAGTCATCCCTGCCCCGTGATCGCGCAAAGGAAGCTGCACATCCAAGAGAGCATCCTGTGTGCTCAGCCGGGGCTTTGGGGAGGCGAGTGTGTGAGCGCAGGTCAGCCTAAGCACACGTGTGTGTGCATGCTCGGGTGTGCATGGGCCTGCTGAGCGGGTGGCCCAGGGTTTTCTGGATGGACAGGATCTTTCAACGCCCACACCAGCTTGAAAGCGGTGGGAGAGGCGGCCAGCTCTGCCGGGGGGGTCGAGGCCTGAGCAGGCTGCAGCCCCCAGATGGGTGCGCCTGGACCCAGGAGAGGCCTGGGAGTGGCACAAGTGGGTGGGTGTTGTGTGACACGGTGCCCACCCACTGGGCTGACTCCACCTTCTCCAGTGGAAACAGAGGGAATTGGAATCTGTGTCGAACGTGTTTCTGCCTGGAGTTAGCCGGGGCCCTGAGCTCCCCATCAGGACAGTGTTCTGTTGGGACTGCACTGAGCAGAGACGGTAGAAACTGTCAGAGCGAGACACACGTGTCACAGTGCCCAGCTCAGGCCCTGCTGCTCCCCCCCGCCCCCCACCACGTGCCAGCCCCTCACCCACAGCCTCATCAGGCCCTTTGTGTAGCTGAGCTGTAAGTGACACATGACATTGGTCTCAGGTATATGACACGGTGACTTCATGGTTATACAGACAGCAAAGGGATGGGCACAGTAGCCCCATCTGTGACACATACTTAGAATTACTGTTTCATATGATGAGAACTTTTGAGCTTGGCTCTCTTAGAAACTTTCAGTTGTGCAACATGGTATCATTAACTACAATCACCCTGCTGCACACTAGACTCCAGGACTTCCCCACTGTAGGACTGGAAATGTGTACCTTTGACCCCCTCCCCCAGGGCCTCAACAACCCTCCCTTCACCGCCCCCAGCCTCTGGGACCATTACCTGAGCTGACAGCGGACGCTTAACTGACTGAGCCACAAAGGCACCCAGTGCATTTACTTCTATAAATTACCCTCTCAGCACTGCTTTAGTTATGGCTCACAAATTTCAATATGTTGTATTTTTTTCATTTTCATTGGGTTTGGTTCATTTAAAAATTTTTCCTTGAGACTCTCTCTAAAATATGTGTTGTTTCCTGTTCTCTTTCTGTTATTGATTAGTGTGATTTCATTGTCACTAGAGAAAGGCACTCTGTAGGGCCTTTGAGTTCTGTTACATTCATTGACATTTGCTTTATGGCCCAAGATATGGTCCATCTTGGTGTGTGTTCCATGGGCACTCAGAAAGAATGTACATTGGGTGAAGTGCTCTGTCAATGTCCAGTAGATCCTGTGGGTTCAGGCTGTTGAGTCCTTCTATGTCCTTGCTGATTTTCTATCTAGTTTCCCATCAGTTGTTGACAGAGGTGGTGAAGTCTCCACCTAGAGCTCTGGGTTTCTCTGTTTCTCCTTTTGGTCCTCAGTTTTGGGGTTCACATATTTTGTAGCTTTGTTGTTTGGTGCATGCATATTTAGGATTGCTGTGTCTTCTTGGTAGGTTGACCCTATGTAATGTTCCTCTCTGATAATTTTGTTTGCTCTGAAGTCTACTTTATCTGAAAATAATAGAGCTGCCTCTGCTTTTCTTTGGTTAATATTTGCATGTATATGTACATCTTTATCTCTTTCTATCTTTTTACTCTCAGCCTGCCTATAAGTGATGTTTTAAGTGAGAGTCTTGTAGACAGCATGTATTTTTTATCCACTCTTCCAATCTCTCTTTTAATTGGTATACCATTTACATTTAGTGTAATTTTAACATGTCAGAGCTTAAATATGCCATATTATTTTTGTTTTCTGTTTGTTCTTTCTAATTTTAATTTCTCTCCTTTTTTCCTGCCTTTCTGTGAGCTACCACATTTTTTATAATTCCATTTTTATTGATCTATGCTGTTTTTGACCATTGGTATTTGTCTATGGTATAGCTTTTTAGTGGTTGCACTAGGTATGACATTACATATACATAACTTACCACAGTCTATTGGTGTCATCATTTTAGTACAAGTAAAGTGCATCCCATTACCCTTCCCACTTAAAATATAATTGCCCTAAACATTTCCTCCATGTACATTTAGAACCACATCAGACAGTGTTAAGTTCTGCTTCAACCACCAAACGTAATTTAGAAGGCCCAATTCTATTTTATTTAACAACATGTTTTGTTGTCTGTTATTTTTTCCTTTCTGATATTCAAAGATGCTTTCTTTTATCATTTCCTTTCTGTTTAGAGAATGCGTCTTAGCTATTCTTTTAGGGTGGGTCTACTGGTGACAAATAATCTTATTTCTCCCACATCTGAGAATGTATTGGCCGCCTCTTAATTCCTGAAGGACATTTTTGCTGGATAGAGGATTCTGGGTTGACAGTTCTTTTAGTATTTGGAAAATGTGTCACTTCCTTCTGGCCTCCTTCGTTTCTGATGAGGAATCCTCTCTTGTATTAACTGCCCTGCATGGAAAAATTTGTATTCAACTTGAGTTTTTAGAAGTTTGCTTATGATGTGTCTTGGCCTTGGTTTCTTTGGGTTTATTCACTCTGGGATTTGCTCACCTTCTTGAATCTGTATGTATCTGCCTTCCATCGTATTTGGGATGCTTTCAGCCGCTCTTTCCGTGGGTGCTTTTCCAGCTGCCCCCTTTCTCCTCTCCTTCCAGGACTCTGATAAACACAAATGTTAGACCTTTTGTTATAGCCCCACAAGTTCCTGAGCTCTGTTTTGTTTTTCCAGTCAGTTTTCTCTCTCTCGTTCAGATTGTTCAGATTGGGTAATTTCTATTGTTCTTCCTTCCAGCCGCTTGATCCTCTGTCCTCTCCATTGCCAGTAAGCCTATCCATTGAGTTTTTAAATTTCAGTTACTGTATTTTTTACTTCTAAATTTTCCATTTGGTTCTTCTTTATATCTTCCATTTATTGAGGCATTCTGTTTTTTATATTTGTTTTGAAAGTGTTCAGAAGTGCTTGTTGAAGCATGTTCACATGGCTGCTTAAAATCTTGGCCAGATAATTCTAACATTTCTTTCACTTTGGTGTTAGCATCTGTTGATTGTCTTCTTAAATTTGGTTTGATATCTTCCTGAGTTTTGGTACAAGTGGTTTTTCTTAAAAACTGGACATTTTGAGTATTATGAGACTCTGGAGCTTGTTTAAATCTTTTATTTTAAATGGCATCTTCGTACATCTGGGATGTCTCCACTGGGATTTGTACTATCACCGAGAGTGGTAAAAGTGCACTTCTGACCCCATGCACCTGGCTGGCTCAGTCAGTGGAGCATGCAACTCTTGATCTTAGGGTCATGAGCTCAAGCCCCACATTGGGCATGGAGCCTACTTTAAATAAATTATTTTTTTAAAAAGTGCTTGCACACTAAAGCCAGCTGAGGATGGAGGTCTAGGCTCCCCACTCACCCTTTGCTTGGGTGGTGGTGTTGGCTGGGGTAGGGTTGTTATTGTCTCAAAGTTTCCTGTCCTCCTTGGCTGCCCCTTTCTTGGTCCCGTGGCCAGAGACAGCTGGCTTTTCTTGGCGCTCTCTTGGTCCACACAGGTTGGTGTTTCTGGGTTGCCAGCTCCTCTAGCACCCAGTCTGGGATACGGAAAGGAGAAGAAAACAGCAGATTTACTGCTTGGCCATTCCTTGGGTTCTGAGGTCCCTAGTCTGTCTGCCTTCTTCAGAGACTTCTTATGTTCTATTTATATATAATGTCAAAGGTTTTTGTTGTACTTAGGAAGAATAGGGAAAGTGTATCTACTCCATCTTTCCAGAAGTAGAGTCTCCATCAATAAGTGGTAAGAGTACAAACTTGTCCTGAGACCAAAAAATATGGGAGCCACTGACCCAAAGAAAATAAGGGAATAAGACCTGTAGGAATCTAGGAAAGAAGCAAAGGAGCGAAAAGACAAGGAGTTGGAGAAGTTTGGGGTCAGCGGGTGGCCCGGCATGACCCGAGCACAGCGAGCATGGAGAGTCCCCAAGGTGAAGGTAGGGGGTCACTGGGCAGAGTATGCAGCCATGGGCTCTGAGAAGAGGTGCGTCACCCGCTGAGCTACGCTTCAAAGGGCTCACTCTGCTGGCTGAGGGAGGGAGGGGCAGAGACGGGCCACCATCGCCAGGTTTCCGCCTGCCCCAGGTGAGGCACTTGTCACCACTTCCGGTCAACACCACGTGGAAGTCCTAGCCAGGACGCTTGGGCAAGAAAATGAAATAAAAGACAGATGGCAAAAGAGGAGAAGTAAAACTGTTTCCATTTGCAGATGATATGATCTCATATAAAGAAAATCCTACAGAATCCATTTTCATTAGAATTACAAAATGAAGCAAGCTGCATTGCAGGATACAA